AGCTCAACATTCAGAAAACAAAGATCATGTCATCTGGTCCTATCACTTCATGGCAAATAGATGGAGAAATAGTGGAAACAGCGGCAGACTTTATTTTGGGGGGCTTCAAAATCACTGCAGATGGTGACTGCAGCCATGAAATTAAAAGACGCTTACTCCTTGGAAGAAAAGTTATGACCAAACTAGATAGCATGTCAAAAAGCAGACACATTACTTTGCCACCAAAGTTCATCTAGTCAAGGCTATGGTTCTTCCAGTAGTCATGTATGGATATGAGAGTTGGACAATAAAGAAAGCTGAGCACTGAAGAACTGATGCTTTTCAACTGTGGTGTTGGAGAAGACTTTTGAGGATCCCTTGGACTGCAACGACATCCAACCAGTCTATCCTAAAGGAATCGGTCCTAAGTGTTCATTAGAAGGACTGATGCTGAAGCTGAAACTCCAGTACTTTGGCCACCTGATGCAAACATACTACTCACTGGAAAAGACCCTGATGCTAGAGAAGACTGAAGGCAGAAGGAGCAGGGGTGATAGAGGATGAGATGGTTGGATAGCATCATCAACTCAATGTACAGCCTAGTATGCTGTAGTCCATGGCATTGCAGAGTCGGACATGACTTAGTGTCTGAACTGAACTTCCGTAATTAATAGATAATTGTTGGACTAATTGTATTTATGTGCATACAATTAACAATTTTACCAAAGGTTGGAATTTGTTTTTAATTGTGGAAATGGGTCAATGTAATCAATAGAGAGGCATGATACTGGAGGTAAACCGCAATAAGGTCTCAATTTAAGAAAAAATAGATGCGCAGGTGCAAACAGTTATACATTTTAAAAACTCGAAGTATTTTCCTATGTATGCTTTCCTTGGATTAACGGAGTATAAAACTTTTTCAGAAAACATCTAAAACTAATGGCCAACAGAGATGTAAGTTGGCAGAGTAACAATATGAAATGAATATAACATATTGTAAAATCCGATTAGCAACAAATGTGAAAGTGAACTAGCTACAATGTGTATCACTTTGCTGATCATCAGGTTACTGTCACTCATCTAGCTGGCCAAGCAGGTATTGCTTTCTTCGTGCATCATGTTACACACAACACTTCTAAAACTTCAAGCTTGGTCCAGGAGTATCCAGTTAGAAGATGTTAGCTCTTCAATCTCTTAGTAAAAATCACCCCTCCCCAAATTCACCCCTACTCCTGTCTAAGGCACTGAATACAGAAATTTCTTGCCTTCTTTTACTCACACTTATTGAGCACCTACTGTATAACAGATAATTTATTAAGTGTTGAGGAAACTAAAAAGAAATTGTCATTGTCCCAAATAAGTTAGAATCTAATAGCAACATGCAAACACAAACATAGCAATTGCTGCTGCTGCTGCTGCTGCTAAGTCGCTTCAATCATGTCCGACTCTGTGCGACCCTATGGACAGCAGCCCACCAGGCTCCCCCGTCCCTGGGATTCTCCAGGCAAGAACACTGGAGTGGGTTGCCATTTCCTTCTCCAATGCATGAAAGGAAAAGCGAAAGTGAAGTCACTCAGTTTTGTTGACTGTTAGCGACCCCATGGACTGCAGACTACCAAGCTCCTCCATCCGTGGGATTTTCCAGGCAAGAGTACTGGAGTGGGTTGCCATTGCCATCTCCACATAGTAATTGAGTTATCCATAAAATACAAGAACATGGGGAAGGAATGCCTACATTCATCTAGAGGAAATTAGAAATTATTACATTATTTCAGATGAAGCTGAAGATCCAATACTTTGGCCACCTGATGTGAAGAACTGACTCACTGGAAAAGACCCTGATGCTGGGAAAGACTTCGGGCAGGAGGAGAAGGGGATGACACAGGATGAGATGGTTGGATGGCATCACCAACTCAGTGGACATGAGTTTGAGCAGGCTCTGGGAGTTGGTGATGGACAGGGAGGGCTGGCATGCTGCAGTGCATGGGGTCTCAAAGAGTTGGACACGACTGAGCAACTGAACTGAACAGATAAGAGCTGAGGCTCAAAGGATGAAATTAAACTTGCCAAGTAGGTAGGAGGTGCATGGGAAAGGAGAACACACCACTAACTGAGAAAAGTAGAAGCAAAGCATAGAAGAAACAAATAACATTTTATGCTCTAAGAACTAAAGGTAGCTGGATGAAGCCAAATCAAACTTTTGCATATACTCAGGGTTTCTTTAACAGAGGATGCTCCAAGGCTACCAGAGGACTAACCTCCTTCTGTTTCATCTATACCTTGAGAAAAACTTTCGGGAGTCCTCATGGTACAGACAGAGTCCCAAAATACTGCATAAAGTCTCTACAGGAGTCCACACATGATTGGGACCCTGAGCTCTGTTTCTAGTCACCTTGGCCTTCAAGGCCGCCGAAACTGAAGTGTAGATACAAAGCTGACAAGTATCTTCAGGGCAAAAGTTATCATGCTCTCTTCTCTGGATTCACCTTTTTCCCCTCCATTTTGTATAATTTTATTTATTTCTTTACTTTTGGCTATGCTGGGTCTTCGTTGCTGGGTGGGCTTTTCTCCAGGTGTGGAGGGCAAGGGCTACTGTCTAGTTGCAATGCACAGGCGTCTCACTGTGGTGGCTTCTCTTGTTGTGGAGCACAGGCTCTAGCGTGCATGGGCTCAGGGTTGAGTTGTGGCTCACGGGCCTAGCTGCCCCACAGCACATGGAATCCTCCCAGATCACGGACTGAACCCACGTCTCCTGCACTGGCGGGCGGATTCTTTACCACCGAGCCACTAGGGAAGACTTCCCTTCTATTTCAGACTGATAATTCTTCACTGTCAAGATAGCTTTTTGTTACTTTTGGTATAACTTTTTAATCAAGTATTTTTGAGTTCATTTCAGTAGGAGAATTGGTCCAAAGAATCTAGCCTGTAACTTTAAGGGGTAAAAGCTTTTACATATATATTTGAGATCTATGATATATATAATTAAGATATGATGCCATTAATAAGGAACACTTAAATCTTTTAAAAGTTTCAAAAATTTTATATGCCATAAATTAATTTTCCCATTAACTCATAGGATCTAAAAATAGAGTGGAACTATAAGAACAGGTAAGATCTGACTTAAGATAAAAAAACTTTACTTTCCTATGTAATGAATTATCAGTGCTTGAAAACAATAAATATTCCTATATGAGAGCAAATTTAGTCTATTAAAACCACAATAAGAAAACTATAAAGATTTTTTATACTTAAAATCTATTAAAGTATTATCTGTTAGTCATTTCTCAAATTGAAAAGAGTAATCACTTTAAAGGGAAAACAAAATCTTTTAAAAATTATTCCAATAGGTATATTCAGAAAATAATTGAAAGCAGGGGCCTGGAGAGATATTTGTACTGTTAAGCTCATAGCAGCATTATTCACAATAGCCAAAAAGGTGCAAATAACCCAAGTGTCCACTGGCAGATGAAAGCATAAACAAAATGTGATATACACATACAATATCAGCTTTAAAAAGAAAAGAAATCCTGACACATGGATGAACCTTCCGGACCTTATTCTAAGTAAAATGAGCCAGTCATAAGGAAAAATACTGTATACAAACACTTTATGAGGTACCTGGATTAGACAAATTCAAGGAGATGAAAACAGAATAGTGGCTGCCCCGTGCTAGAGAAGGGAAGAAAGGAGCGTTACGGATTAACGAGCAGCGTCAGCTTTGCAAGACTAGAGTTCTGTGGCTCAGTGATGGTGATGGTATCACAACACTATGAATCAACTTAATGCTGGCACACTGAACTCTGGAAGATGGTTAACATGCTGAATTTTATGTAATGTATATTTTCACAATTTTTACTTCAAAAAGGAAAGCTCTATATTTTTTAAAAAATCAAAAAAATTATTCCATTGGTATCTAGATGAGTGATTTAAATACTATAAACATTAAGCTTCTGATGTGTGCTGCATGCTGTCACTACACTTGTGTCTAACTCTTTGCAACCCCATAGACTGTAGCCCACCAGGCTCCTCTGTCAATTCTCCAGACAGGAATACTGGAGTGGGTAGCCATTCCCTTCTCCGGAGGATCTTCCTACCCTAGGAACTGAATCTGGGTCTCCCGCATTGCAGGCAGATTCTCTATCTGACTCACCAGGGAAGGTCCAATTTCTGAATGTGATAATCCAAAAGTATTCCACATATACATTATTCTAGGAAGTTTTCTCTGTTGTAAGAAAAAGGTTCTTTGAGTATTTGCAGAGCTAAGACAAGATTTGGAAACAACAGGTTTCCCTCTGCTAAGTCAGGACAGTTAAGTAAAGCTATCTCTCCTTCAATGAAGGAGAGCCTCAATATGAACCTCTTTTTAGGCTGCAGAACCACAAACATTTATTTAATTATCTAAGCTATTTAAATGTAGAAAAATATTTTAAAAAATGAACCATTTATTCTGTAAGATTGCTAATATTAAAACTTTAGTCTGATAACCTACAATGTTTTCATTCACATCAAAGTATCTGTATACCTACTTACTTACATAAAGTCAGAAAAAGAGCCAATAAAAATTAGAACATAATCCTAATTAAAACTCAGTATGATATCCCAGTTTACTGAATTGGATGTTATGAGCATTTTATGAGAACCTAGCCACTCTGTGTAAAGCGATAAAATTCAGTTTCTTAAAATGCTTGGCTGATTCTGTGATTATAAGATTAATTCTGTGAGCATAAAAGAAAAAAAAATTACATTTTTCCCCATGAAGAATGGTTTATTGAGATGCCATTTTTTGCAATTTTATCCACATGAATAAATGAAGCATATTTAAATTTTCTAGAGTTGAATGAAATCTAATGTTTTCCTAAAGAAACTAAGTAACTGCATGCAATAACTTCTATTTATGTAATAAACTTTAGCAAAATACCAACATTCTTTGCAAATGCCCACTTCATGATTATGCACCATTTGATTTCTAGCTTCTTTTTTTTTTTTCTTGTTAAGTTGTAGATTTTTAAAAACCACTTTACCTTTCTGCTGTAAGGATTACTAATTACTAGCTTGGTGTCATCTGAGCCAGATAAAATATATTCTCCAGTCTCATTCCAACAGATTGTATTAACCTAAGAAGAAAGCAAAAGAAGAAATTTAAGCAGACTCAAAGTAATAATAAGTATGCCATCTTCACTTAGTTGATGGTTCAGAATTTTATATCACTAATGAGATTACACCTATGGTAAATAATATTTACCAGTTTACTTAGTGAAAATATATACTGAATACCATTTAGCAAACACGATGTTCTATAAATTTATAAAGACACATAAATTAAGTATGAGTCTTTCTTAAGTTTTATTTAAATTTATTTTAAATAGTCAATTTTATATACAGGGATATAAAACCAAGTCACCTAAAAAGGAATTAGAAAAACTCACTAAAGAGCTATAGCAATTAAGACTGTGTGGTACTGTCATGATCACAAACATATATATAAATCAATGGCATGGAACTGAGTCCAGAAATAACCCTTATACTTATGGTCAGATAATTCTTCATAAAGGAGCTAACTAAGACCATTGAATGGAGAAAGAACAATCTTTTCAACAAATGGTGCAGTAACCACTAGATATACACAAGCAAAAGAACAAATTTGGAACCCTACTTCACATCATATACAAAAAGTAACTAAAAATGATCAAAGATTTAAATGTAAGAACCAAAACTTTATAACTCATAGAAGGAAACAGGTCTCAATCTTCATGAAAACTAAAACCACAATAACCACTTTACATCCATTAAGATGGCTATAATAATTTAAGAAAAACATAGAATATAAGAAGAAAATGCCAAGAAATTGGAACTCTGATACATTTCTGGTAGGTATGCATTACAGTACAACTATCTGGAAAGCAGTTTGGAAGTTGTCAAAAACTGAAACAGTTATCCTATGAGCCAGCAATTCCATAACAAAATGTATATACCCAAGAGAACTGAAAATATATCACATAAAATCTTGTACACAAAAGTTCATAGCTACATTATTCACAATAGGCAAAAACGGAAGGGAAGTAATTCAAATGTCTACCAACTCATACTGAGTGAAGTAAGTCAGACAGAGGAGAAATATCTTATGATATCCCTTACATATGGAATCTAAAAAGAAATTATATAAACAAACTTACTTACAAAATAGAAAGAGATTCAGAGACTTAGAAAATAAACTTATGGTTGCCAGGAGGAAGGGAGTTTCAGAAAGTCATGTACAGGTTGCTATACTCAAAATGGACAACCAACAAGGACCTACTGTATAGCACATGGGAGTCTCTTCAATGTTATGTGCCAGCCTGGACAGGACGGGGGTATGGGGGTGAATGGATACATGTATATGTATGGCTGAGTCCCTTTGTTTTTTGTTTTTTTTTTCCCCTTTGTTATTCAACTGAAACTACCACAACATTGTTAATCAACTCTAACCCAACACAATAAAAAGTTTTGAAGTTTGGAAAAAAAAAATATTTTCCCTCCTACCAAAAAAAGTGACTAATTCATTTGCTCATAATAAAATACCCACACAATGAAGTATTATTCAGCCATAAAAACAAATAATAATACATGGTGCAACACCGATGAACCTTAAAAATATTACAGTAAGTAAAAGAAGCCAGTCTGAAACGCTACATATTATATGGTTCATTTACATTAAAATTACAAAATAAGCTTATCTAGAGAGACCAGAAAGCAGATTTAGTGACTGCCAAGAGCTGGCAGAGGGGGAATGGGTGTGACTGATAACTGGTATGAACTTTCTCTTTCGGATGGTGAAAATACACTGGAATTAGGTAGTGGTGACTGCTATACAACCTTATGAATATATGTAAAAAGGCACTGAACCAAACACTTGAAACAGATGAATTTTTATGGAATGTGAACTATATCTAAGTAGTTTCAAAAAAATGACTGACTTCCACTTTTCAGTCAAGATGGAATAACAAGAACCAGATTTACTATGACATCTGAAACAACCAAAAACAGCAGAATATATATTCTTTTTAAGTACACATGAAATATTTACCAATATAGAAAACATTTACTTATGGGCCATAAAATAAGCCTCAAGATATTTAAAAGACTTCAAGTTCCACATAAATATGCTCTGTGTCCAAAACAGAATTAAATTAGAAATCACTAACACAAAGAAATATTTGAAAACTATAAAATAACAGACGGTCAAAAAAGAAATCACAGAATTACAAAATATTTTTAACTTTTTTTTGGCTTTTATTAAAGCAAAAAATATCTTAATTTATGGACTGCAGGTAACACAGTGCTTAAAAGCAAATTTATAGTACAAAAACACTGATATTAGAAAGATAAAGGTCCTATAACAATGACTTTCGCTTCCACTCTGAAAACTATAACAAGGAGACCAATGAAATCAAAAGTCAAAAGACAGTTGGAAATAATGAATATAAGAGCAGACATCATTTAAAAAGAAAACTGGTAAAACCAGAAACTGGTGCTTTGAAAAGACAAATAAAATTAATGCACCTCTACTCATATTAATCAAGCAAAAGAAGGGGTGGAGGAACTTATTACCAATACCAAAAATGAGAGCAATAACACATAACATCATTATGAATACTTGAGCATGTAATATAATACCGTGAACAACTTTATACAATGAATTCAATGACAGAGAGAGCTAACAAAAGTCTTGAAACATATATACTAAACAAAATTTACTCAAGACATTGTCCATTTTTATTAAAGTGTAGTTAAAATTTTCACCAAAGGAAACTCTCCAGGCCCAGACTGCTCTACTGGTGAAATCTGCTGAATATTTTTTTTTTAAATAATGAAAATTCTGTACCAACTCTTTCAGAAAATTAAAAAGAATTGAACACTTCTAAACTCACTGGCACAAGCTGATGGATCGATATCCTTAATGTACACAGAAAAATTCTAAAACAATTTTAGCAAACTGAATAAAACAGTGTAAGAAAATTAGATAAGGCATCACGACTCAAGATTTATCTCTGAAATGCAAGAACAGTTTGACACTCAAATCAATACAATCTATGATATTAACAAACGAAAACAGAAAATCATATGATCATTGCAATAAATGCAGAATAGACATTTGAAAAATATCCAAGTAACAATTCATAATAAGAGCTCTAAGCAAAATTGAAAGGAACTTTCTTCAATCTGACAATGAATATTTATTAAAAAACAATCATACTAAATAATGAAAGACTGGATGCTTTCCCTCTATGATTAGAACAAGACAAGGAAGTTGGCTCTCACCACTCCTGTTCAACACTCTAGAATTTTAGAGAGTACAATAAGATAAAAAAAAGAAATAAAAGGAAATCAGACAGAAAAGAAGTAAAATATATCCTCAGATTACATGACTGCTTATGTAGAATAATGAAGCTGGCTTAAAGCTCAACATTCGGAAAACAAAGATCATGGCATCCGGACTCATCACTATATAGCAAATAGATGGAGAAACAGTGGAAACAGTGGTTGACTTTATTTTGGGGGGCTCCAAAATCACTGCAGATGGTGACTGCAGTCTTGAAATTAAAAGACGCTTACCCCTTGGGAGAAAAGTTATAACCAACCAAGCGACATATTAAAAAGTAGAGAAGTTATTTCGCCAACAAAGGTCCGTCTAGTCAAGGCTATGGTTTCTCCAGTGGTCATGTATGGATGTGAGAGTTGGACTATAAAGACAGCTGAGCACCGAAGAATTGATGCTCTTGAACTATGGTGTTGGAGAAGACTCTTGAGAGTCCCTTGGACTGCAAGGAGATCCAACCAGTCCATCCTAAAGGAAATCAGTCCTGGGTGTTCATTGGAGGGACTGATGTTGAAGCTGAAACTCCAATGCTTTGGCCACCTGATGTGAAGAACTGACTCATTTGAAAAGACCCTGATGCTGGGAAAGATTGAAGGTGGGAGGAGAAGGGGATGACAGAGGATGAGATGGTTGGATGGCATCACTGACTCAGTGGACATGAGCTCCGGGAGTTGTTGATAGACAGGGAGGCCTGGCATGCTGCAGTCCGTGGGGTTACAGAGTTGGACACGACTACTGAGAGAATCATAAAAAAAGGGAATGGACTAACAAGTAAGTTTAGGAAGTTTGACGGACACAGATCAACACCATACTCCCTGGCTATCCATGAGGATGAGTTCCAGGACAACCTAACAAATACCAAATCCGTGGATGCTCAAGTCCCTTACACAAAATGGAACAGTACAGTCAACCCTCAGTATCCATAGATAAGAAACCTGTGGACATGGAGGGATGACCATATGTAAAAATAGACAACATAAGGGATTAAAACCACATTTTAGGGACTTGCCTGGCAATCCAGTGATTAAGATTTTGCCTTCCAATGCAGGAGGCATGGGTTTGATCCCTGGTCGGGGAGCTAAGATTCTATATGCCTCACAGCCAAAACATCAAAACATAAAACAGAAGCAATACTGTAACAAATTCAGTGGTCTACATCAAAATAAAAAAATTTAAAAAAAACATTTTGATATCCCTTTTTGATATCTACTTGTTGTTCGGTCACTAAGTCATGTCCGACTCTTTGTAACCCCATGAACTGCAGCATACCAGGCTTCCCTGTTCTTCACTATCTCCCACAGTTTGTTCGAACTCATATTCATTGAATTGGTGATGCCATCCAGCCATCTCAGCCGCTGTCACTCCCTTCTCCCCTTGCCTTCAATCTTTCCCAGCATCAGTCTTTTCCAACCAATTGGCTCTTTGCATCAGGTGGCCAAAGTATTGGAGCTTCAGCTTCAGCATCAGTCCTTTCAATGAATATTCTGGGTTGATGTCCATTACAATCGACTGGTTTGATCTCCGTGCTGTCCAAGGAACTCTCAAGTCTTCTCTAGCACCACAATTTGAAAGCACTCAGCATTCAATTCTTCAGCATTCGGCTTTCTCTAGGGTCCTACTCTCACATCCGTGTATGACTACTAAAAAAAAAAAACAATGTAGCTTTGATTACACAGTCCTTTGCCAGCAAGGTACTGTCTCTGCTTTTTAATATAGTGTCTAGGTTTGTCATAGCTTTTCTTCCAAGGAGCAAGTGTC